ACTAGAGGAAATGAAGAAAGCCAAGAAAAGTAAACATCTGCCCAGCTCATGGAACATGCAGCGATGGAACTGGTGTCTGCACAGAGTCTTCACCCCTACATTCTAGGCACTTTGGTGCAGGAAGCTACTCTGGACGACAACCCAAACACAAAACCTTTTACCAATAATCTGTGCTGCCTGCAAGATGTATTGGGGCAATGGTGGCACAGAACTTACAGGAGTGGCCAGCCAATGACTGGTTTAACTTGAAGCCCGCTCCACAGGAAGGAACCCATGCCTAACACTACTCGGATGTGCAGGATCTGGAGACCAATGATAGTCTGCTATTCTCATAGTCACAGACCAGTGACTTGTCTAGTCATCATCAGAGCTCCCACAGCAAATGGGAGCTGGTGCAGAGACCCACATCCAAATATTACCGGGAGAGTTTAAGTTGGAGATCTTCATTGGGTCCCTCCCCTCGACACTTGGGGAATCCCAAGGAAAAGGGGATGGAAAGAGTGTAGGAGTCAGAGGAGATGGAGGACACCAGGAGAACATGGCCTACTGAATCAAGTAGGCAGGGCTCATATGAGACTTAAGCAACAAGCACAGGGCCTACAAGGATCTGCACCAGGTTCTCTGTGTATATGTTTCAAGTGTTGGCTTGGTGTTTTCTGTGGGAGTGGGTGTATCTAACTCTTTTACCTGCTCTTGGGTGGCCTGTCCAGCCTCAATATGAGGGCCTCTGCTTGGTCTTATTTTGTTTTGTTATGTCATGTTTGGTTGTTGTCTCTTGGAGGCCTGCTCTCTTCTCATGGAAGATGAAGGGGGTGGATCTTGGGGAGAGGAGAGGAGGTAAGGTGTGCGGAAGAGTGGAAGGAGGGGAAACTGTGGTTGGGATATACTGTGTGAGAGAAGAATCTATTTTCAATAATAAAAAGGACAGTCTGCAGTTGCTTAATGGCAGCACTGAGTTGTAGCTAAGTAGCGATGCTTCTTCTCCAACCCTTGTAGCCTTCTGTTCTTCAAGCAACAAACTTGCAAAGTGTCAGTTTTCATCTGTCATTTTACATGTAGACTGTATGTCTTACTTTCCTTATTACAAGCCTGGCTGCTTCAGGAATTTGCATAGATAACATGAGGGTGAAAATCTTGACTGTCTTCTGTACTTCTGTGTCTAGCTTAAAAACACATTTTGGATGAATGAATTTAAAACTATTCATCACATTCATGCACTCATTCATTCATTCATTCATTCATTCATTCATTCATTCATTCAGTTAGTGAATGTGCTTGCACACATATGGAGGTCAGAGGACAACCTGCAACAGTGAGTGTCTGCCTCTACCATGCAGGTTTTTGGATTATACTCAGGTGGTGAAGCTCAAAAGCAAGAGCCTTTAACCAATGAGCCATCTTGCCAGCCTTCAAATAGATTTTATTCCAAGAATACATTTCTAGTAAGACTGAAAAAACAAAAACAAAACACATGATCACATACGGAAGTTTCAAAAATTGAAAAAAACAAACCAAAGCCAAAACCCACAAATATTACTGTGCTGAGCCGGGCCAGGTCTGACTTCAGTTATATTATAAAACTTCCTAAGTACTAGATACCCTAGAAGGAACAGTGCCAACTATCTCAAACAAAAATAACCAACAGAATTCATCTGCAAATGCATGTGCCACATTTGCTATGCAATGACTCATCAATAGTATGACTATTCTTAGATAGTCATATATGAATTTTTAAAATTTTGTTTTTTTTTTTTTTTTACAATTTACTCATTTTCTATCCCAATTATAGTCCCTTCCCTCCCCTTTGCCTGGTCCCACTTTCCCTCCCCCACCCCCAATGAAGTCCACTGAGAGGGGGAGACCTCCTCCTTTGCCATCTGATCTAGCTTATCAAGTCTCATCAGGACTGCCTGGATCCTCTTCCTCTGTCGCCTGGCAAGGCCTAACAGCCAGGGGGAAGTGACCAAAGAGTAGGCAACCAAGTTCATGTTCATGTCAGAGGCAGCCCCTGCTCCCCTTACTCAGGTACCCACATGGAGACTGAGCTGCCTATGGGCTACATCTAAGCAGGGGCTCTAGGTCCTCTTTCTGCATGGTCCTTGGCTGGTGTATCAGTCTCTGCAGAATACCCCTGAGCCCATGTTTTTGGGCTTTGTTGTTCTCCTTGTGGAGCTCCTGTCCCCTCTGGGTCCTTCTCTTCCTCCCTTTTTCCCTAAGACTCCCTGTGTTCTGCCCAAAGTTTGGCTGTGAGCCTCTGCATCTGCTTCGATCCCCCGTTGGGTAGAGCCTTTCAGAGGACATCCATGGTAGGATCCAGTCCTGTTCCCTCTCTTCCACCACTTCTAGTGTCTATCCTGTTTGCCATTCTGAATGACCGAACTAGAAATGAACCAAACCAGGAAGACATGCATGTTACATACTCACTTATAAGTGGATATTAGCCATATAATATAGGATAACCATATTAAAATCTACAGACCTAAAGAAGCTAAACAACAAGGAGGACCATATATGAATTTTTAAAGAGTATATAAGAACTATGTGTTCACTGTAAAAATAATCTATAAAGAACTAGTAATCTTTCTAGTCAAAAACAGCACTGCTGCTCAGACAGTACTATTTTGAAAACCTTGGTGTTGGGGTGTATGAGTGCAGGCAAATGTGCACACATGTGGAAGTGAGAGAGCAGCCTCAGCTATTGGTCCCCACCTTCTGCCCTGTTTTAAGAGTCTCTTGTTTGCAGCTGGGTAAGCCAGGCTCCTGACCCTCTACCTCCTGAAGATTTTATGTCCAGCTCCTGTTGGGCGTTGGTCTGATGCTTGTATTTTGATGCTAATCTCTGGCCCTCAAGATCTGGTTACTGCCCAGATTCACCTATCCTTATTGTGTGAACCTGCCTAAGACATCATTCCTGATTGGTTAATAAAACAGGCCTGTACCTGGACAGGGCAGAAGGAGATAGATGTGGCTAAGGTTCTGGGCTTTGGGGACAGGAGAATCATGGGAAGGAGAGACATAGAAAGGAAGAGAGGAGGAGGGAGGACATCATGATGGGTTAGCATGGAGAAAGAACCATGTGGGCTGGAAGACTCTTAAGAATGGTGTGAAAAGAAATCCCAAGATGAAAAATATAAGCTAGTATTTATAAGATTATAGATGGAAGGTAGACCAGACAGGAATGGTTAAAGTGGATGGCAATGGACAGGGCTGGGAGGTGGATGGGGAAGTTACTGAGAGAACATAGGTGGAAATTATCTGCCCAAAGTGTTATAAGGCAATTAACTAATAGTGACTGTATCTTATTGATTACGATAGTAAGATAACACTGCCATGCCATAAATAATTATAGGGCTAATACTAAATACTATTAACCCAATACCATTATATTTTCAACAACAACCTCCCATATTGCTGTTAGGAGGACTGGGATTATGGACATGCACTACTATGTTGGTTTTCTGTGAGTTCTGACAATTTTGAACTCAGGTTTCTCATGTTGCATATCTTTCCAGCTCTGACATCCATTTTCAAGTGAATGGGTAGCATGTATGTGTGGTTTAGATTCATAGATATGGATACACACACACACACACATACACACACACACACACACACACGCATGCACACCACATTTAAAAAAATAGATACAAATGTGTATGCATATGCTTGTGAGAGCTAGAAGACAACCTTAGGTGTCATATGTTTGGAATGCAGCCCACCTGTCTTTTGAGGCAGGGTCTCTCATTGGCCTAAAGCCTGACAACTAGGTTGACATGTCTGGCCGACAGGCACTAGGGACTCTTTTCCGAGGGACCCTCTTATAAGTGTGTGCTAGACTTGTAAGTGCACACACTTATTCAGATCACTTATTTTGTAAGTATTTTCCTGACTGACCCATCTCCCCAGCATCCATTAGCTCATTTTTGATCTAAGAAAAATAGATTCAATCAGCCATTATTTTGGCAACACATACAAAGAACTATGATAACCATCTGACTACATGATGTAATCAATCTTTTCTCAAATCATGGAAGCAACTAATAGTTCAAGAAGATGAAACTGAAGCAATATTACCCTCAGAGTATCCTTTCCGGAATTAAGTTAGGTGTCCCATGTCAAGTACATGACACCTGTCACTTCTGAAAGCTGTTATCAACATTGTAACACTTCAATTATATTTCTAATAATGTGGCATCTTTACAGAAACTTAAGTGTTTGAACTAAAAAGTCAGAAATAAGGTTTAAGAATACATAAAATTTTGAGATTTTCAGGACTGAGAATATAGCTCAATTGACTAGCATGTGTGAGACCTTAAGTTCAATTCCTAGAACTGAATGAATGAATAAATAAATAAACAGATAGATAAATATTTCAAGGACAGATTTTCATCTCTGAACTATTTCATAAAACTGGTGTTCTTCAAAAAAGTGAAATAAAAGTCAGCTTAGATGTGATTTTTGTACAAAGGTATTAATAAACAAGAAGAAATAATATTATTACTGTTATCTCAAGAGTACAGGCCATGCCTTAATAGATTATTGGACTTCTACTCATTATATTAAACAGCTAACATCCCGTGACTACAGACTGAAGAATTCAGGGAGGAAACCAAAATTTGACTGCAATTTTAAGAGGAATTAGAGGGAATTGAGTGAGAATTGTACCTGGTCATTAAAACAGTAGCAAGTGAATTATAGTAGCAGACTTCTTACAATGATTCCCAAGCCCAAGATGTTACGAGGTCTGGGTTAAATACACATAAGACAAAGGTTAGATGCCTATGTGTTCGAAAAAGTATGTCTCTGCAGGGCCAAGGAGCTCAGGAACACATAACAATGCTGTGAGATTACTACTTCCTGTCATCTGCGCAGCTGCTCTTAACAGCAACTAAGTAGTCACCTCTGCTGCAAAGACTGGAATAAAAGGCTACACCCAACAGGAAAATTTCTCAGGTTTCCTCCAAATGATAAAAAAATAAGGCAAAGAGAGTTTAACCCACCTCTCTCTTTGCAAAGGACAAAAAGGAACTCGGCAGCAATTTGCTTGACGCCAAGGTCAACATGTGTCATGAGGCGCACCAGCTTGTTTCTCACAGTTGAGCCAACTTCAGGTCGATTTGTCACATCCCTCAATGGTGGTAAAACCTGATTGCACAAATGAAAAAAACCATCATCAATTGAGGGTCCTGGGGTACGTGAAATTGGTACCATGCAACTGGTCAGTCTTAGAAGAAACTACACTTAGTTTTAAATAAGAGTAACAAATAAAATAAAACAACTGTTAGCTTCCAAAATGAAATGAATCATCAGCATCGCCAACAATAGCCAGACCGCACGCACTCTCATGTGTGCAGTAGAGTTCTATTTGGACAGAAACGTGTCTTTCGTGTCATCCGGCTATCTCAGCACCAGCAGGGTTTCTGGTATTTAGCAAAAATTAATTTAAATGTCTGTGTCATGTTCCTCTTTCTTGCTGGGTATGACAGCACACAGGCTTGGAAGGCTGAGAGGAAGGTAAGAGTTCAAGGTCTGCTTTTTTAGCCAAATCAGAGAGAGACTGCCTGGATACAGAAAGGGAGGAGGAGTAAAGCCAGCGAAGAGCTTTTAGCATGAGCATGAGTACCTGAGTTCAAGACTCAGAAACCACATGAAAAAAAAAAATCACACATGCATTTCTCCCCACGAACAAAGGCCAATGGTATTTTTTCACATACTTCCTCAGTAGCCCAAGCCATACTGACTTATTACCGCTTTTAATTCTACCAGCATATTCAGTATCTAAGTTTTAAAAATCTGTATTTATGCTTTTTGGTTGTTTAATTTTATAATTAAAATGGCTCTTTCAGGCTGAACATTCCTAACTTCAAAATCTGGAACCTTTGAGTTCTTACATGATGCCACAAAAAGAAACTGTATGTGACAAGGTAAATGAAGTTCATGCGATACATTAAGTGAAGGTATGCTAAAAATGTATAAGTTATCTTAAAGCTCTGGGTATCAGATATCTTACTGGGTATCTATATAGATATCCCCAAATCTAAAAATATTATAAATCAGAAACACTTGGATGCAAGCACTTGAGGGAGAGATAACCAAGTATTTTTCTTTATACTAGCTACAATAATAGCCCTTTCTCTGCCTGTTCCTACAGGTCTCTGTTCAACTGTCACTTAAATTATTCCCTGACCCCTCTCTCACTAATCTTTACTATTCCTTTTCCTATTTCTCACTATTAGTCTTCCACAATCCTTCTTATACTTTAACCACCTAGCATAATAAATGTTTGCCTCTTTCCAAGAAAGTCCATTCTGTGACCCTGAAGAAGCACACACCCATGCTCTGGGTGTCTTTCTTTCTGAGCATGTCTCTCTTAATCCTAATGCTTATCCTAATATTAAAAAAAAAAAAAGTTCCACAAGGACGGTTTTTGCTCCTTCCTTATTAGTCTCTTCCTAGTGTATGGAATATTATAGGTGTCCAATAAATACTTGTTGATTTAGAAGGGAAATGAATAAATCCAAGTGATTTTTCATTAAGTGATATATTTATTGATCCATTTTCTGTTACTATAAGAAAATACCCAAGACATGCTAACTTTAGGAAGGAAAGACATTTATTTAGCCTACAGTTCTGGAGATTAAAAGCCTAAGATCAGGTGATCCTACCCACTGTTTCTACTGCTGGTGAGGGCCTAATGGAGAGGCAGGTGTTTGGGTGTTTGTAGGAGGAAAGGAATTACGTCTAGAAATAGAAAGCCAGACAGTTATTAAAGGGTCAGGCCAGCTGTACAGTTTGTTTTTCGAGAGATGAAGGCCCTCATAGGAACTACCTAGTTTGCTGAGGCAGTGCCCCCTGTGGACTTTCTACGAGGCTCTCTCTCTTAAAGGTTCCACACCATTCCCCACCAAGCCACCCTGGCAACATCAAGTCTCTAACACGTGTGCTTAGAGGAAAAGTCGTACACAAACCACAGCAAGGGCTTTCTAGATAAACAGTTCTTGTGCTAGAAAGTGAGGCACATCACAAGTCGAAGAACAACTTACTGTGCACCAACACAGACTGTGTACACGCAAAGTTTATTTAATCTAGTTAGTTAAAGGTTAACTAACTTTGCCCCTTCCAGCTCTCTCTTTCCACAGTGAGTGTACCAGGAAGTACAGGGACTAGAAATACAGCTATAAATTAAAACATAGAGACAAAATGTCAGACAAATGCTATCCAATGTTTATAAGACCCACATATAAGTATCTCTAGGAGGGTGGGGCATAATGTAAGGCATGAGGTAATTGCACAACAAATTCTTACTTGATTGGGTCAATTCTATGGGTTTTAACCCCTATTTCTAGAAGAACGAGAAACAGATAGGTGATTTCCACAGAATGCATCTACCTTAATATCCAGTGTGTACAATTACAAAAGTTAGCATGCAAAAACCTCTCAACTACCTTCTTGGGTTTCTTAAAGATTTTACTACTTTGCTGTTTCATGTCACTCCCCAATGGCACATGCATCTTTTCCTACATTATCCAACAATTTTTTTTTGGTAAGTTGTGTACAGTTTCTCTTTCAGAGTATCTCTTCTTTCAGTCTCTAGACTAATACAACCTGGGTCAGTAATTTCCACTGTTTTCGTTTGTAATTGCTCAAACACAGAGCACTCAAGGCCAATTTCCTTTGTGTATGCATGAGTTAGATTTAATCTGGTAGTTGCTACTACATGCATTAAGTAGTTAGACATAGTTTCAATTACAGTATTATCAAAACTAATTATCTGCTATTTTCCCCTTGGTGCTAGAGATTGAGTTTATGGCCCTTTTGAATGCCTGGCACATGCTGTACCCATGTGAGCCCCACCCTGAGACCACTTCTATGTTTCTTGAGCACCATCCACAGTGCATCCTCTCTAAAAGGTTGTTTCCTTCTCTCTCCTTCTCCCTCCATCCTTTCTTTCCTATCGTTGAAGTCCAAGGACCATTTTATTAAGCGCTTAAAAGGAAAAACAGGACAGGCAGCTGATAGGAGGGAGATGGAGAAAAGGGAGAGAGGAAGTCATGTCATTGAATTAGAATTAGCACTGGCAGTCTGTAAACAGTTGAAGAACAGGGATTGGGAGAGTTTCATGGAAAATATGCTTAGGATTTTGGCCAGTATCACATGAACAGAAAAGGGAACAAAGTTATGCTTTTGAGTTATCACTAAGAAAAGTGGGCAGGCTTAGCAGTGGCGATCTGTAAGCAATATGGCAAGGGAGGCCTCCTGGACTAGGTAAATATGTAGTGGAAGTTTTGCTGTTGTTAAAGATTCAGTTATGTTATGTAAACATGTTTTTATTTTAATTCCAAGTGTGGGATATGGGGCTGCTTCAGATTGTCCACAGCAGCAGACTATTTGCCTTGTGTGGGTTCTGAGAAGGGTGTGATCTTTGCCAGCTGCAGATATTTTCACTCTGGGTACTTAGAGAGGGAATAAATGTCAGAGCCCAGAGAAGGGACTGGGGGCTCAAAGAAAGAAAAAGGATGTTGGTACTCCTGGTTGCTGTTGATAAAGTTTGACAAGAAGTTGGAGCTATCCTGAAATGAAGATTGGAGTTACCCCAAGGAACCCAAGACCTCTAACTAGCAGGAAGTGACTAAAGAGAACTAAGACCCCTTTCCCCACTAACATTCTTTCTTCCTACTCACCCTTTTCTCCTATCTAGTGTTGGGATGTTAGAAGGGATAGGGGTGGAGATGGAAGGTAGAGGCATAAGAAACCCCAATAAAATAGCTAAAAAAAAGAAAGAAAGAAAAAGAAAAAGGATGCCAACATAAGTACATTCATTATCTCCCTTTGTTGTGCTGTACTCTCCACACACTAAGACTCCATATGTTAAGGCATGATCCCTAATGTGGTGGTAGCAAGAGGTGGTGAGCTGACCTTTAAGAGCTCAGGCAACAGGGAAGGTTGTAAGGTTAAGCTGTCCCGGGTGTTTCATTGTAACAGTGATGAGCACACTGACATAGAAAATTGGTACCAGAAGTAGGGCTTTACCTGAAAATGAGGAGCAGCTTTGGAATCAGGTGAGTAGGAGAGGATGGAACAAACTATTTGGAGGAACAGGCTAGACAGTTTAGAATGTTGTAAATACAGTTTAATTGGAAGTTCTGGTAAGGGCTCAAAAAACTAATTTTGGATGGAAATGAGAATCTGATGGGGACGCCATCACTATTACAGTGTCATAAAGAATCTGGCCACACTGAATCCATATCCTAAGATTTTGCAGAGGCTGAAATTAGGAAGGCTGGACTAGTTTATTTGGCCAGAGAAATTTCAAAACAATATAGCATTTGGGTTATGATGTTAGTGTTACTGGCTACTGTTAGATTCATAGTAAGTGTTGGAAGCAAAAGGAAATGGAAGATTCATAAAGCTTTCAGCTTGCCCAAGGAAGGAATAGAAAAAGTGACTAAGGGTATGGCTAAGGAAGGTACAGGGAGACTGTTAGAGAGTGGCAAGAATGCTAACTATGAGGTTTATATAAAAGCCTTGAGCCTCTCCCAAATCTTCTAGGCCATTCTCCACCCACCATCACAGGCCAAGAGACTTTTCAGGATAGCACTGTCTCAGGAACTGAGACCAGGCTGCTCTCTACTGGCTTACTATCCAAGACCATATCAGGATTTGTTCTCCTGTGCTCAACTGGACTATCTCTGGCTGCAGCAGTGGCTAAAGCAGGCAGATGCAGAGTTCATATCAGGGGCCAGCTTTTCTGCCATCTACAGGGTGCTGGTTCTGCAGATATGCAGAATAAAAAGACTCATGAGATAATGATGGCACTGACCGAGATTGCAAAGAAGGCCAAGCAGAAATGTGCCGCAGGCTCAGAGGCCCTGCCAGGAGTGCCTGGTGGGATGATGCATAGTAGAGATGCTGGAATGGAGCTGTAATATGGACCCAAGTAACAGAAGGTGACCAAGAACATGCCACGCTTGCTCAGGAAAGCCACAGATAGTAGCAAGCAGTCATCTGGGCAATATCCAGCTGAACTGTAGGAGACTACAGAGCGAGAGTCAACTTTGTAGACCAGGCTGGCCTCGAACTCACAGAAATCTCCCTGACTCTACCTGCCAGAGTGCTGGAATTACAGACATGTGCCACCGTGGCCGGCTTTGAAATTGAAATTTTAATGTCTTGAGTCTGAGATAGAATTTAAAAAGTTCAAAGCTTATTACCCAATCTACCAGTACATTCTGTGAACTGCACTTTCATGACACAGCTCAAAGGATGAACTCTGGCCACGACTGTACCTTCTAGGCCTTCTCCAGTGTTTTTAGGACTGCACGAAGTAGTATGGTGACCGTCCACTTATGCTCCACTCTCTTACACACAGCATTTGAAGTAAACATTCAGTGTTTTCTCTTCTTATTTAGAGAGAATCCAAAGTGCTATCCAACCTTGTCTTCCGCCCTGTTTACTCTTTCACTGTTCTTTTACAGTCTCTCCCTTCTGTCTTTTGTGCTGTCACACTGGCTGCCTTGTTTCCTCTTTTGCATGCCAAAGCTTCGCATCTGAGAACTCCAAACACTTTCTCCCTGATAGATTCTGCTCTCTGGAACCTCTTCAGAGAGGCACTCCTGTATCTCAACTCTCCTTTCCATCCTTTGGTCTCTCCTTCTTTAGGACACTTAACACGCTCCACTATTGCACAATTACTTTTTAATTTATTATCTCCTATAAGGTAAATCCTGTAAGAGTAAAGAACTCACGGTGTTGAATATTCAGAGCAGTTTAACAAACAGCATGTAATAGACCTGCTGGATAAATGAATGAATAATGTATACAAGATCATTTATTTCTGGCTAGAAGGTTTCTAATTTTCTGAAAGGAAACTATCACGAAAACTTATTAGTTCTATGTTAACAACATATATACAAAGTTTTAATTTTAAGATATAAGCAATTACCTGATCTTTGAGAAATTTTCGGATGTTCCGATGAGCTCGGGAACATTCTGTTAATAAGCTGAGAACTGGAGTTAGACCCTCTCTATAGCTGCTTCCCTATAAAGAAAACCATGCACACCATATTAGTTCAGTTCTTAAGGGTGTGGCTCTCCTCCATTTAACCTGAGAATACAAAGACTTTTTTTTTTTTGAGGGGAAAGGGAGGACCCAGCTTGTGATACCAAAGCTTTACTTTAAATATAATATTTCCGTAAGTTTACTTTACTATCTAGTTTTGTCTTTTCTGTTTTTTGTTTGTTTGTTTTTATTTTTATTTTTTTAATTTCCTACATTTTCTTGGGTTTACACCAGCTCAGCTAATACGCTTCAATGAAGCAAAGGCTTTTCGGACCCATCTATACCACCCATTTACCAGAGAAACTGAGTGGCAGACTAGAGAAAACTGAAGATGAAACACTTTTTGAAGACATCATTTTTGGAGTAGGTTAGTTTTTACTTCTAACATTTACAAAGTAGCAACGCAAGGCAGTTAATAATTTTTCCTTTACTTTCAGACACTAGTTACAAATTTGGTGGTCTAAAAATACAATTTTCAACATTAAATAAACTCACTTGACTTCTACCAATTTATCATTATTATGATAAAATGTCTTTAAAGGTAAAACTATGTAACATGCCAAGTATGAAGAACAAGCTTGGTTGTGAGCTCATGCCGTGTGACCTGTCTCTATGTAGGGCACATCTAATCTTTAGATATACCTTCCCAAGGCCTCCACTCTAGCAGCCTTACCTTGTCAATTCTCTTCTCCATAAAACTGAGTAAAACATGAATGGCCTCCATATTCATGCCATTGTATACCATGGTATTGTTTTTCAAAGCTGTGTCTTTCTCGGTTGTTTTATCACTGGGCAGTTCATCTAGAGTCGCTGCCTCTTGGGCTGTTTCTTCATGGGTTAATGGACAAATGAGAACATCCAAACAAGAGACTGGAACATTGCTTAAAAGGTTGACAGCATTACTGAAAGGCAATTTGAAAATACAATATTTTAATTTGATTGAATAGGCTTTTAAAATGCAAACAATATACAAAGTTCAGAGGTGACTTTTAGGAGCCAATTAAAATTTTTCTTTTTCAAAATGAGCCATTATTTGGCATTTACTCAGAGAAAAATAAAGAACTGTCTCAAACATACACATGGCAAATTAAAAAGAAGCAATGGTAAACGGACAGACACATTACAGGATGCCACATCACTTTCTGAAATGCTACAACAGGAATAAGCCAGCTCTCACGCCAGCACTTTAATTTACTGTGACAATGCCAGCTTTGCATTTTCTTCAAGGAGTGAACTTCTTTTGCGGATCCCCTGGTCTATTACTCCTTAGATTGTCACATAAAGCACTTGAGAAGCAATGCGTACAAGCAGCCTTAGCACAGAGGCAACGACAGAAACAAGCAAAGACTGTAGTATTAAGATTTGTTTTTTCTTATGTTCAAAACACAACTTTTAAATCATCCAATTTTTGTATGTGGCATTTTCATGAAAAAATAAATGGTGTCTCCATTTTTTCCCCTCTCATCATCGGGTCTCTTTAAAAGAAGCCAGCACTGCTGTTTCTGGTCTCTATCCTAGGCCCTTCTGCTGTTTCAGGGATTGCCTACCTTGGGGATGCACACCAGCAGGGGGAACCCCAACCCTGTATTTTTAGCATACACTAAAAACCTTGTTCTAGTGCTCAGTATACAAGAGTTAAAATGATAGTAGAGACTTAGAGATTTAGCAAAAATAGGCATGCTTTCAACATATTTCCTCCATGTAGTTTCATATTTTGATCTACCAGGAGAAGCAGTGTTCCTGTGTGAGCTGGATCCTAATAGCCTGCACCCCAGGACTTCCTGATAAACAACAATGGAAAGACAGGCATTACATTTCTTAGTGACACAGAAGCCAGTCTAAAAATAACCACATCCTGACTAAAAATAAACTCTTGCAAATACAGTGTAAACGTGTAACCACTTGGAAACCAAAGTCAGGACTTAATCCATCTGCTGCCATCTTAACTTAGATTACAGCAATTTAAAATGTACTTTATAGCGAGATTCTAAAAATTAAAATAAAACACACAGAAAAATAATACAGGGGGTTTTCTTTCTTTTACTTTGAAGTATGGCTTCATGTCCCATGAATCAATATGTCATTCTTTTTATATTATGGAAAAATAAAAATTATTTTTAAAAAAATCCATTACAAATTAAACAATGCAAAAATGAGTGGAAATAAAAATAATATAAATTGTGGGCAAAAAAAAAAATCACCCCAATTGAACAATACTTTATGAACAGATGGTTTCTGGTAAAGTATAAGTTACTGTTGTCCTCAATGAAGCTGTTGTTGCTGTCACACACTGTCCTGTCATTTGTGACATTCAAAGGCAGTTAAAGTACACCACTTCTCACACAAACTTTAGCATTTCTTTCTGCAAGCTTCCATAATTCCTTATTTATAGTTTAAAATGGCTTGTGTCTCCCTCAGCATTTGGAAACAGTTAATATTAAAAGCCACTGGGAGAAGACAGAAAGAACTTTCCCTAAGACTTACTTTCTGAAATGGAAGAAGCTATTCTGAAATGCTAGGATTTTCCCTCTAAACACAGGATAACCCTCTCTGGAAACCATCAGCAGTGTGATCCTCTAAATCTATTACAGACCAGACTGAAGAGCCTGAGATGGTCACTCTATTACAAAGGGATGTTTCTCTTTTAGATCTCTTACAGGAGGAGTTTCCAAGAATTCGGCATATTTAAGAAGCCAAATGTAGAGCTGGAATCAACAAATATTTGGATGTTTCACGCTTTTCAAGAAAAGTTCCAATTTTCTTATTTCTTATTAAACAACTCAGTTCTCAAACAGCTATAAAATTAATTTTCTGGTTCACTGTGTTCAAGCTATTCTTTTTAAGTAGGAAGGTCAGCCTTTTGAGCTCTGTCACTTCTCTGACAGTTTTATTTGTGGTAGAAGAGTGCATGAGATTCTCCAGCTACCAGGAAGTCAGTGACGATGCACAGATTTGCACAATGGTGTTTGCATTCCTACTCTAGGGGGGTAGAAATGCTGTGTATATTACTCTCCTTTCCAGTTCCTAGAGACCATTAATCACTGTGCCATGACATCCTCCAGCTTATGCTCCCAGCCCCCTCCTGATATGCAGATTCAAAAGCAAGGCCTACTTAAGAGTTCCTCCGTGCCTTGATTAAAGGATTACTAGCTGTGAAAATAGGAAGACAACCTCAAATTTAGTCTTCTGTCATTGGTGAACTCAACAAATGCTAAATGACAGCGAGGAGCATGGGAACAGCTCATACCAATCAGTAGCAAGTAACAAATCTTATGATCAAATATATTTTCTTTACATTTGAGGCTTATGTGTATTTTCAAACTTGGAAAAAAAGCCAGCAGAAATATATCTTAAGGTCTTTAAAATATTCCCCTCTTCTTTATATTTATTTAAGAAGACATGGTTTAATTTTTTTTTCTTTTGTGGTAAAAACACTTAAGATCTACTCTTTTAACAGATGTTAAATATATGCTGCAGTACTGTCACTACAGACCCTAATCCAGAGCAAACAACACGGGAAGTCAGAATGACAAACTGTATTTTTGACTCATGACACTACTCCCACACCCCTCCCTCGTGGTCCTTGGTCACCACTATCATACTACCTGGCACTATGAGTTTCTCTATTTTAGGTTCCTTATTAGAAGAGGAGCATGCAGTATTTGTCCATCTGTAACTGGTTCATTTAACTTGTTACAGTTAAATCTACATATGCTCTTGAAAAGGATAGGATGTCTTTCTTTTTTTTAGGATGTCTTTCTTTATAAAGACCAAATATATTCTGTTACACACATATACTTCCCACATTTTATTTGCTGTTAAACACTTAGGATGTCTCCCTATCCCTACTCTGTGGCTCTATCTTTCTCTTCTCCTTATATTTTCCTTACCTAATTATGTGCTGTCAGGCATTTGGGTGGTCTTCCTGTCCCTGACATCGTGAGTGGTAACGTGATGAACACGAGTGTGCAGCTGTCTCTTTGGGACGATGATTTTTATTTCTTTCGGATATACATCCATCAGTGTGGGTGATGGAGCAAATGGCACTTCGATTTTCAATAGTTAGAACTTCTGCACTATTTCGTACACTTTGCTGCCAGTGTACAAAGATTCTCCTTTCTCCACAGCTTTGTGGTGTCCTTTAAGCAGCCACTCTAACAGGTATGAGGTGAATCTTAAGGTTTTGATTTGTATTTTACAGAAGATTAGTAATGCTAAACATGTTTTCATATGCATGTCTTCTTTGGAGAAATGTCTATTCAGATCCCTTGTCCTTCCTTCTTGCCTTCCTGCTCCCTCCCTACTCTTTTTCCTCCCTTCCCTCTTTTTTTTTTCTTAGCTATTAAGAGTCCTGTGCTGGGTATGGTAGCACAAGCCTGCAATCCTAGCACTCAGGAGGCTAAAACTGGGGATTATCTGAAGACTAGCTTAGGCTACATAGTGAGTTTAAGACCCTGAGCTACAAAGACACTGTATCAAAAGCAAAACAAAGCCAAAAATTTCCTCACATATATGTTAAATGCAAACTCTTTACAAACAGGAAGAAGGGGAAGCCTGTAAACAGCTTCCTCCTGCACAGGTGAGGCTTCACTTTGGCAGTTTTGTATGCACTACAGGTTTTCAGTTAGATGAAGTCCCACCCAGCTAATCTTGCCTTTGTTGTCTGTTCTTCTGGTGTCATACCAACAAATCACTACAAAAACCAAGGCTAGGTCTGTGAGCCTGTTTACTGTTTTAGACTTCACATTTAAGGAACCCACTGGGGTGCAGAAAGTATTCAATTTGTATCTATTGATGGCATTGAGAAGAAGTCTCACTTTGCTCTTTAACCAATGCACTAACACTGGTACCCACACCCAAGTCATATGTGATGCTCCCCATTTACAAACACCAGTGAAGTATCGGAAAGATTAAAATTTGGTGCCATGGGAAGGACCTTTCTGAACTGGTCATGATACAACAGCTATGCTCTGGTAGGTTATACACTGTTTTACCCATGCTTTTTTTGTAGGGACAGGGCTACTCTTTGGGGCCTCAAACCTGTTAAACATACCATCCCTTCACAAAATCATCAGCCTTGCTTCAATAGTTTTAAACTAAACAAATTCTTTCAAAATGGGCAAAACACATTAAGTGATTTCTGAAAAGGAAACCAAAATTTAAGACATTACTTAAAACACTAGCACCTTTTATTTTCTGACAAGAAAATGGCAGATTCTTTTGTTTGCTGTTTCATAACAAAGCCAGTACAATCAAACTGGAATCATGTTTCTTTTCTCAGACTGAATCTTGGATGACCCAGGAAAGCCTTGAATTCAATATGTAATCTTTGAGACTGAGTCCCACATACATCAAACTGGCCTTAAACTTACTAGGTAGCTGACAATGACCTTGAACTCTGGATACTCTTCCCTTGCCTCCTGAGTGCTAAGATTCAAGAATTCACCACCTGAAATTTGTTTTAAAAAATTGGAAATTGGGTCAGGGAGATGGCTTAGAGGGTAAAGGTTGGTCCCTGGCGTAAAAAGAAAACCACCTCCACAAAACTGTCCTCTGATCTCCACACAAGTACCCTCACATACATAACCCCCCCCCCCCCCCCCACACACACACACATAGTTTTTATTTTTAATTGTAAATTAAGCAGGCATGGATGTCAAGACACCTGTAATCCCAGCACTCAGGAGGCTGAGGCAAGAATGCCAGTTGGAGGCTAGCCAGGATTATATTGTGAGACCTTATCTAATATTTAAACACACATATGAAAGTTAAAATTTTAAATGTGGGTCTTATACAAAATGAGCTTACATCCATGTGTTACTGACCAGTTCTGCCTGACAATATACCCTGAGAAATACGCTAACAATAAAGCCATCAGAAGAAGCAACACATCTGAATGCCT